CCGGTCTTCTCCATCACGTAACGATTTAACGTTTGTCATTATGCAACAAGGCACGTGTAGTTCGCGTGATGTCGAAACCAACGGAATAGCATTCCGGTTACATCGCGCGCGTGCATTTGAGAGATTAAACGCGGACGACAATGCGAAGCATCGAAGCCCCCACATGGACGAACGACTCTTCGCACATTGGCCTTTTCGAAAGACTCCGATTCGGAGTTTAAATCAAATATGTACTTCGCGGAACGGGGAGCTCGCACGTGGGGTGCAAAACCCGTTACGATTTAAATCCCGCTACGCGACCTGAACGCGTGTTCCCCGAATATGCAAAGCGACGTCTCTTCCCGGTAATCTGTCGCGATTTCCGAAGCATCGCGTGCTTTCAAAAATCATCGATCAACTGACACGTTTCAAAGACATTCATATTAATGGAGCCTAGATTAAACGATACTAAAGACTAATGGGTTTATTCAAAGGAATGATGATACTCCAATTCCGGCGGACGCAATTATTGCCATTTTTTTATTTAAACAAGGCGAGCTATCGCCTATATTTCGAACGAGACGTCATCGAACTTCAACCGTCGTCCGTCGCTATGGCCGAGTCATTCGGGATTTCAATTTCGCCGCACCGCCGCGCTGAACGTCCTTCGGATCACTCACTCGCGACTTGTAAACAATAAACAGTTGCGTGTGCACTTACCGCAAACGTTGAGCCAGCCCTCGACGCGGCAGGGATACTCCAGCTTCATCTTCCTGCCTTGTGTGCAGATCGCGTGAAAAATATCCAGGTCGCGATGACGCTTCTCCTCTCCTTCCCGGCACGACAGGTCAGGCACATAAACCTCCCTCTCCCCCGTCCGATTATCACTGGGAAACGACACCGCCGAGCGATACTGCCGCGGCACACATTCTTCCACGGCGCGGTTACGCAGCGAACACGCGACCCTACTCCTCCCTCCCTCCCTCCCTCCTCGCTCTCTCTCTCTTTCTCTCTTTCTCTCTTTCTCTCTCTCGTCACGCGTTCGCGACACGAGGGTGACACGCGGGGTCGCGGATATGCGAATCGAACGTAAGTACGACGAGGTATCAATGACCCCCGTGGCGAGCGGATTTCGCAAAAAGGGAGAGCCGCACGGACGCGCGAGAGGAGACCCGGCGGTTAGTATATATGCGAAAACAACGAAGATACACTTTGCGAGAAAGCACACTCTCTCTCCTCACTTCTGGGCGCGCGCGCGCGCAACAAAGCGAAACACACACGACGGCGAACAAATCCGAACTGAGGCAGCGAGTGAGCGGCGCACAGCCGGCACGGCTGGCTCGTGTCCTCGCGGTGCGCCGAGAAGCTCCC